TCAATGTTAGGGTTTGTTGAGGGGGTTCTTGAAGGTGAAAGAGAGGGTTTCTTCGTTAAATGCTCTCTCCCTTCAACAATCTCTCAGTTCCCTCTCTTTTCATGTCTTCAATCGACGTCTTTCTCTTCTCCTCTGCTCCTTCGCGGGATTGTTCCTCCTTTTCCGGCGAGCGGGAGGTGAAAACGAGTGATTCTAAGGTAGGTTTTGTATTTGTTATTGACTAGTTTGTCTTTTTGTATGGTTTTCATTTGCGAAGGATAATTTCACTAACCTGTGACTGATTTTGTGAAGTTTAGTAATTAGAGAGATTGGAAATTTCTGTATTTGAACTGTGAATTACTTCATGCTTGGATGAAACTTCTATTGGTCTGATTGATTTTGCTTTATTGATGTAGCCTCTCCAATCAATTTCCAAGTCTGGAATTGCATAACAGAGAGCAGAATGGTCGGGTTGATGATTTATCAGCTTCTAAGGTAAAGGGGGAACTACATAAGTGTTTGAATGGGCCTGTTACAGTTGCTACGGTCTTGTTGCCTCGTGGTTTAATCAATTCAGGGAATCTGTGCTTTCTCAACGCAACGCTACAGGCTCTTCTATCCTGTTCTCCTTTTGTTCAGCTTTTGCAGGAATTGAGAACTCGCAAAGTGCCTAAGGTTTCTTTCGTTTATTCGATTACTTTGCATTTACGTGGTTTTAGTAGAATTGCTATTTGCAAATAACAAAATTTATATAGATTGCTGATCTTAGAAAATAGGAAGCTACCTTGCCTATGCTTGTTCTTTTCCTGGCTAATCACTTAACTAATATGTTGTCCATTTGAATTTGATTTTATATAGATTGGGTGCATTTGCAGAGTTCGTCGCTGAATTTGACATGCCTAGTGGTTCAAGTTCAAAGAACAAAGATGCAGGTGTTCTTGACACTGGTAGGCCTTTTAACCATGCCATGTTTGAAGGCGTTCTTTAAATTTTTACTCCAGATGTACGAACTAGCATCTCAGGCAGGCCAAGGTGTGTATCTGATCTGGGTCAATAATTTTCTGTTCTAGGTTTTGTCTTTTTGTATTTTTTTATTTCTATGTTGAGCCTTCTTATTGCAAATTTAATCGTTGATGGTATTGCTAGCTGAAATTGTAAGGCACGATCATTGCAAAAAGATTTAGACACATGCATCTATTTGTGGTCACAAAAGTTGTCCTTCCCTGCCACTTTTTTTCTTTTAAATCCCTCATGCACTGTTTCCTTTCTTTCCTTATATTAATATCTTTTCACTATTTCCAAATAAACAAGAAAGGTCAGACATGTAGCGCAATTTTGTTACTTTGTGATTCTCATAAATCTTGTATTGATCGGTAATGGTTTTCCTTCAGTATTATTAGGCTTGATTGATAATTCTCATGCTTTACAATTTGTCTGATGGCTTGAAAAAGTGCCACTGCCTGACATAGCCCATGACTAAAATGCCTGCTGTTACAGTGTCTCCACTTAAATTGTTTATTTTCTGAAAACATGTTACACTTTTTTCCAATTTATTTCTCTATTTGTGGTTTATTACACCTGTTGCAACCCATTTAATGTGAAATAATGGGTTAGACTGAGATATTTTATAAGTTAACTTGTGATCGGTAAAATGTTGTAATAAATAGGTTAACAATCTTTTGTACTATTCTGAGTTCGCCAATATTTTCATGGACCAAGGAAAGAAGAAACCTAGAACACCTCAAGAGTAATTACCAAAGGGTTAAATTTGCATTGTTTAGTTTCTTCTCTGTCTAGTGTAAATATTTATGTCGGCATGTCTATATTCTACTTTCACTACAAGAAAATGGGCCTTAGTTGACACTTCATTCTTTTATATATCTCAAGTTGTTTTCTGATTGGATATTGTGGGTGCTGTTATGGATTCTTATTTTGCCATTAATTTAAGTTATTTCTATGAACCATATGATTTTCATTTTTGAGACCTTGAGTAGGACAGTTTCTGGTTTGGTTTGCCTTTGTATCTCTCACACTAGATGCTGATAAAGCCTCCTTCCAAGGAAAATTCCATTGAGATTTAGTTAGGATTTTATTACTTTTTATTTTTATTCTGATAACTCGGTACTCTAGTTTTTTCACTGGTTTTAGATAACAAGGATGATGAAGTGCGAGTCAGCAGAACAAGTGTGACCTTATTGTCAATCTTAAAACTTCAGCAAACCAAAAAGTAGGTAAACTTAGTTTTCATCCCTTTCAAGCTTGTTCTGGTGCTTTGGATTTTGGATTGCCATATACAATTTAATAAGTTAAGTTCTTTACTTTCCTTTTGGTGTTGGCAGTTGTTGTGGTGGGATAGTGTAAATTTTAAATCCAAAGCTTTTGACTTTGATGATGGTAATAAATTTGCTCATTTTATTAAAATAATCATGAATCATCATTTACAACATAGGTCAGATTACAAATGTTGGTACTACTATATCTGCTTGTTTTTGTAATTAGTGGGGCTAATGCTGATGGAAATCAGTTTGGTCCTGCATAAGTCCTTCATCCTGATGATGTCCTTTTTTTTTCTCATTATTGATACCTTAGAATGTATAATGCTTTTGTCTAATATATGTACGCATTAAATTTGTTTGCAGGTTAGGAGTATCAGTCTTCGTATAGAAGGTGCTGACATTCATGTAGATGTTGGTTTGTGTATCACTCAGGTATTGCTTAAATATTTTAGTTCTTTGAAGTTCTTACACCAACAAACTCAAGTGTAAGAACTCAAATGGGTTTCATTGGTTTTGTGTATTTGGATCGTTTTTCTGATTGGATATTTTGGGCTCTGTTTTAGGTTGCTTGTTTGCAATTAATTTTGGCTATTTCTATGAACCCTATAATTTCGTACAAGAAATTCAAAAGGGAAAGAAGGTTTGACTAAATTTTCATATGGCCCTTGAAAGAATGCATGTCCTACTTGAACAAGAAAAGTATATGATCGTTTTTGAGTCTTTACACTCTTTGGCTGACCTTGTCCAAGCAAGTATTGGATGTTTTATAGGAACAACAAATTAGTGAAGTACTCATCCTAGCTTCAAATCCCATTGGGAGGTAAAAATGATAACTAGGATTTTAGTTTAATAGAAGAGGTCACTATTTTGTGCAGTGTATATATTGCTAGAATTTATCTGTGATGCACTATGTAAAGTAAAGTGAGTTTTATACCAATATTAGTCCTATCACGGTACTTGAATATTCATGTTAATGACTTTTCTTGAGAAATCTTGTACTTGATAATTTCTAATTTTCTGTTTACATGTTAGAAGAAGATATTTTGTCTATTTATATATTCTTCCTTCTGGATGGTGCTTAGGACTTATAAGTTTTGGGAAGTACTCATAATTGTACTTTCGCCTGAGTAGGAATTTTTTTCCCAGTTTGCAAGAATTGTTCATCAAATTTATATAAGTTTGTAGATAGCACAAGCATGCACCTTTGAAGAAGAACATATGCGATTCTCATCCAACCAATTTCATTGTAACAAATTATGTATCTCTGACTCTGTTTTTTCCCTCAGGCTGGATTAGCTCTTGGAGAGTTGCGAAAGGAAAATAATTCCTAAGAAGCCTTTGGCTAGCAACTAATCCAACTTCAAGTCAAGAACATCTTTTGCATCCTCAACTTTTACAGAAGCCTCTCCGCCCATTCCTTGCTCGAGGGTATTTTGACGATGTAGGAGTGTAAAATGTGATTCCATTAAGGACGTCGTGTCCTTTTTGTAATATGTTGTAGATTATGAATATATAGTGGGAATGTGGAATTAAATTATAGTGGGAATGTGGAGTTTTTGTATTGCCTTTGTATTGCTCCCCTATTGCATTTGTATTGTCATCGTATTGCCATTGTAGTGTCGTGGTATTGCCTGGTTATTGCACTTATATTTGTTTCTTATCACCTGTTGTTTCAAGTCTATCTTGTGAAGGAACTTATAAGGATATTTTGTAAAAGAAAACGCTTGATTGTATTAGTTTATTTTGTAATGGAAAATGATAGATCATTATTCATTATCATATAAATAAGGTATAACAAGCACCGTATATGTATCTCTTCAATATGATTGATTCGTGTTCAGCTATTGGTGTAAGAATGTTATTCCATTATTGCTTTTTTATTGATTATTTATTATTGTAAGAATGTGATTCCGTTAAGGACGTCACGTCCTTTTTATAAATCAAACTCATAGTTGCTTTACCTGCAACAAATTATGTTAATTAAGAAAACCAACCAAAAAACAATAAACAAAAGCAATTTGTATATTGTATTTCAAGGGATATATATAATGCCATAGTCTAACTGAAGTTGTATTAATTTATGCCGAGCCGTCCTTAGCTTGGGGTGGTTATCATTATTAGTATAGAATTTTGTATCTATAATTTAAAATTCCATTATAATAAGGTGGAAAATGTGAAATGTGCATCATATCTCAATCTCATCACTGTGTTTGCAAAATGATGCATGCCTCAGCTACTTTCAGTGTCAACAATGTCTCCAATTTCATAGGGTATGTATATCATTGGCAGGAAAAATGTAAGGGGAAATGTCTGATATAATTACTTTCTATTTCTTTCTGCAGTTTTGTCTTGACAATTTTTGTTTCTTTCCCCTTTTCTTTTTAGATTGCACAAGAAAAAGAAAAGCTGTGCCCAACTTGTTTATTGTATTTGTATTGCATTTTTATTGCGTGTCTATTGCCACTTTATTGCTTGTTTATTGCTATCGTATTGCTTTTGTATTGCATGTCTGTTACCACTTCATAATCTACGTGCCATTACTTTCATATGGCTTTTTTTTTATTGCTTTTTGGTTGGTTTTCTTAATTAATATAATTTGTTGCAGGGAAAGCAACTATGAGTTTGATTTATAAAAAGGACGTGACGTCCTTAATGGAATCACATTCTTACAATAATAAATAATAAATAAAAAAGCAATAATGGAATCACATTCTTACACCAATAGCTGAACACGAATCAATCATATTGAAGAGATACATATACGGTGCTTGTTATACCTTATTTATATGATAATGAATAATGATCTAACATTTTCCTTTACAAAATAAACTAATACAATCAAGCGTTTTCTTTTACAAAATATCCTTATAAGTTCCTTCACAAGATAGACTTGAAAAAACAGGTGATAAGAAACAAATATAAGTGCAATAACCAGGCAATACCTCGACACTACAATGGCAATACGATGACAATACAAATGCAATAGGGGAGCAATACAAAGGCAATACTAAAACTCCACATTCCCACTATAAGTAGCACTGTACAATGTACATGACGAAGACACACAACACACACATATGAAGAAGAGAGAACAACCTGATATATGGGTGCTCTTACTGAACCAGAGGTTACCAACAGTCTCCTCCCATTAGCATCTAAAGCCATTTCATGTCTGAAATTTTTTGAGCTCTCAGAGTCAAAGAATCTACAGTATGGAAGAGAGTAATGTTAGTTAATCAGGTGTATGCCCAAGTATTTTTGTTTGATAAAACTGCTGTGCAACCAATTTCTATATGCCAAAGAAGGTACTTGCTACAGTTTCTTGACCAAAGGATTTGACCTTGGTTTTGCAAGCTCCATTCAAGAACCTGACACCACAAAACCAATTCTTTTAAGTAAATACTTTTAAGATAACAAAACTATAAGGCCATCTACAATTCAAAAAATGATGGGGACAACATTTCAAAATGCAATACTTAAACTTCATGAGAAAATGAACGTAAAGCACTTGCCTTAACATCTACTCCCAAACTGAAAATACTTGTCTCATCAGGCCCAAAAAGAATGGAGCTTATAGCAGAGTCGCGTGCTGGCCACCCAGTTATTTGTAGACCGGCAAACATATCTTTGACTTGTTAAGGTGTTCATATATCCATCCGCATGTACATCTGCAGGAAACCTCAGCTACAGAAAGGGGCAACCCATATATGATTCTACAAAGACATGGGCTTGACCATACAGTTAAATGCCCTTGTTGAGGGTGATTTAACCATCTTGGAAAAATAAATAACACCCAGGCAATGCAAAAGTGTCAAAAACAGGGGTTTTCTGCTCTTCTGAAAATCATTTACCACCTAATTTCCTACAATTTATACCAAGCCCTAAAATATATCTGAGGATACCAAACATGTGAATCATTCCATCAGTTGCAGCGGCTGCTAAAATCTTTCCATTGTGATTGAAACTAAGGGATGTAATTGCAGGTGGATCTTTACCAAGAGGAAGAACTGTCTTCATGAAACCCAAAAGGTTATTTAAGGCATAAAAATACAAGTTTCTTCTCACAAAAAGAAGAAGGCATTAAAACATAAGTGGCTATAGCACATACCATAGCCTTCCATGTCTTCATGTTCCACACAGTTAATGAAGCGAACCCGAGACTATCAAGGTGACTTGATCCATGCCCACAAAGACAATAAACTCCTAATTCTAACATGTATCAAAATTAAATACCCCAACACACACATACAAGGACATAGATGCATGTACTTAAGCTATAAGATGAATCTTTTCATGATCCAATTATAATCATTTCACAGCATGGTGCTCATACCACACTTCAGTTGAATAGGATTGTTACAATAGGGGCAACATTTCGGTCAAACACAGAGTCTGACATATGAACAAAATGATAAGATTACAGAAAGAACATACCCCTTGGATGCTACTGCAGAAACAAATATTGGCTCTACAGGGCTGCATTTTATATCCAAGACACTGTAGCAGGGAAAACAAAGGTAAATAGCAGCACCAAGGAGTACACAATAGTACCAGTAATATTGTATTACCAATCTGATGCACACGGTCCAACAGTTCAGCAAATTTGATGGTCCGTGGAACTATTAAGCCTTTTGAGTCACCCCCTTCGTATTTGCACATCTTCTTCGAGGTGACCAATTTTCCATTGTAGCACACGAGAATAACAATTGTCTCCATTTCTGACCCTGACAAAACAACATTTCATTAACACAATATAACCACAATAACCATACAATACAATGGCAATATAACATCAATATAACAGCAATATAAAGGCAATATAACAGCAACATAACAGCAATACGACAGTAAATAAGAGGAACACAACAGCAGTACACCAGTAACACATCAGAATCACACTATACAGATCTACTACATCAAATGGAAAATCCCAAGTTTCAAGATTCACATATCCAGACCAATCTAAGTGCAATTGGTACAAACCCAGATGACTGAGCATGAATATTCAACAAAACCTAACCCAAAGCAATTAAAGCCAAAACGAATTTAACACAAACCCAAACAATCAAAATATAACCCATTTCACATAATCCCACTGATATTAAGAAAATAACCATCAACACTACCTTTTCGAGGTCGGCAATCCACTAGAGCTTCAAGGTTGCAAGCAGCTATTCAAAAGACATACCTAAAGGGAGGGGTTCGCGATTCCAAACAGAGAGCAAGAGACCGAATAGGGGGAGAAAGAGACATAACAAAGCTAATGAGAGAAAGAGCTGCGCTATGAGAAAGAGAGCAAAGAGAGAGACAGAGAGTTGCGCTAGAGAGAGAGAGAGCCAAGATAGACACAGAGAGCTGCGATAGACAGATACCAAAGAGAAAGAGAGCTGTGCCAGAGAGAGAGAGAGAGAGAGAGAGAGAGAGAGAGAGAGAGAGAGAGAGAGAGAGAGAGAGAGAGAGAGAGAGAGAGAGAGAGAGAGAGAGAGAGAGAGAGAGAGAGAGAGAGAGAGAGAGAGAGAGAGAGAGAGAGAGAGAGAGAGAGAGAGAGAGAGAGAGAGAGAGAGAGAGAGAGAGAGAGAGAGAGAGAGAGAGAGAGAGAGAGAGAGAGAGAGAGAGAGAGAGAGAGAGAGAGAGAGAGAGAGAGAGAGAGAGAGAGAGAGAGAGAGAGAGAGAGAGAGAGAGAGAGAGAGAGAGAGAGAGAGAGAGAGAGAGAGAGAGAGAGAGAGAGAGAGAGAGAGAGAGAGAGAGAGAGAGAGAGAGAGAGAGAGAGAGAGAGAGAGAGAGAGAGAGAGAGAGAGAGAGAGAGAGAGAGAGAGAGAGAGAGAGAGAGAGAGAGAGAGAGAGAGAGAGAGAGAGAGAGAGAGAGAGAGAGAGAGAGAGAGAGAGAGAGCTGAGTGAGCTAAGAGAGAACAAAATTTCTGAACTTGTGAAAAATCAGCAATAAGTGGACAATAATTTTATATTTATAGGTGATAGTTGTAAAAAAATTGGGAAGGGGTGGTATTTTTAGTTAAAATTATGAAAGGGGTGCCATTTTAAGCAATTTCCCATAAATTTTCCATGCTTAAAATACCCTTGAATATAGAAGGACTAAAATACACTTAAAATATATGGAAAATTGGATGGTGTTAAAGTCAAACGACACATTATGGATTTTGAAAAATTAAGGTGACATTTCTCTTAAATTTTTCTTTATGGTGACAAATTGAAACTGAGGCATAATAATATAGCATTTGTCTTAAAATTGTTGAGTGTTAGCAAGCAAAACATACATTCACTCAAGGAAATAAGAAAGAGAATGAATAAAATAAAATCAGTGTCAATTTAGTTCCATGCACAACAATTTTAATTTTTAAGTGCAAATAAAATGTGAGTGCTTGTTTATTTACTTGTTAACGCTCAAAAAATTTAAGAGAGATGATATGATTAGTTGTGCATGTAGCATTCTACTTTTAATATCCCAACTCCAAAGTGTCTTATAATTTTCTTAAGTGGAGGCATACTATCGTGATTGTCATGGGAACAAGGACATAATGGTAACATGAGCAGCTCATCCCATAGCATAGAGAACCTCATAAGATTTCATATTGAACTTCCAGGACTGTTTGCTCATCAAAATTCTTGAAATGTATGGAAACATTGAATATAGGGAGATTCACTATTATACCCAATATAGGAGCCCAAATTATAAAAAAAGGGTAATGATTTCCCCACTCCAATTTTATCCACTTACACTCTATTTTATATAAAATGGAGTGTAAGTGGATAAAATTGGAGTGGGGAAATCACCACCCTAAAAAAAATCTTATATGAAATGGACTTTTGAAACACACACAAAGCCCATTTACAACATAACAAAAGGGCTTTTAACTTCTTTTAAATTACAAAACTGCCATTGATTTCTTAAAACAAACCCAACCCCAAAACTTCATAAAAAAACCCAAAACACTTAATAGGGCATCAAAGTAATTTAATAATCAAAATTAAATTCAATAGGGCCAACTTTTATTTTTTGGGTTTTTTTTAGTTTGTTTATAGAAATGAAATGGTGTAGGGTTTATTTATAGTTTTAGTGCTAAGAATGCATATTTGACTAAATATCTCTTGAATATATGTAACATTCGACGAATAAGCTATAATGTGTAGAGACAAAGCTTTTGTTGGAAACAACAATCAGTGTCAAACTGGCTGTCCTTGAAGGATTCATAAACAAAGCTATAATCTTTCAATGCTGGACAAGAGGAAATTGAACTTCAACAATACGAGCTTTAACAGGTTTAAATACACAATCCATGGATGTCTTTGAAGGATTCATAGACAAAGGCCAACAAACTGGCTGCATAGAAAGTAACTTTCAACAACTTCATAATCATCCGATAAAGTTTTCTTGCAAGAAAACCAAACGAAGACGTGCCCCCCAGGGTTTAACATCAGTTTATCTTGTTTGAGATGAAGAATTCTTCATCAACACAAAGAGAGCTTTTCCATGTGGTCAGATCAGATGAAGGCCGCCCTCCAAACACAAATGAACTATCTGCAGGACAAGATAGCTCGAATCAAAGAGCTAATAGAAAGCATATAATAAGGATGTTAAGTTTATTGCTTTCGTTAAGTATCCCTTCAGTAAAAAACATGTGCCCCTTCCACTGCCTTCAAGGGACCTTGTAAATTATCAGAAAGATTAAGATGGATGGTTCCGAGCAACGGTCTAGTGCTAAGAATATAAACAAAGGTCCCAACTTTCAAATATAAAAAAGCAAACTTACTTTTCTTTTTTTATTTCACTCAGGTCAATTGGCAAACCTCCCCACAATCACCTGCAAGATCATGTGTGTTAGCGAGAGATCCCTATTCTATTAGGATATTGTTTTATTTATTTCTCTTTGTATAGATATTATGTAATTAGGATACCACTTATTTTCCTAGTTTAATCCTACTAGGGTTTACATCCTGTAATATAAATACCTCCTTTTGGAGAATGAAATATATCTGAAAATATTCTACCCATATTGTTTGACTTGGTATCAGAGCCTGGTTTTTGGTGACCTGTGTGTGTTGTGCCCACCCGTGTTCTACTGTGTGCCCTAATTTCTTTTAGGGTTCTTGTGTCTGTGCCTTTGCCGTGTTCCGCTGTGTGCTCTGTCGTGTTCGTGCCTCTACTGTGTGCCTCTACTGTGTTCGTGCCCTCTACTGTGTTTGTGCCTCTGTTGTCTTCGTGCATCTGCCATATTTGTGTCTGTGCTGTGATCTGTTGTATACTCTGCGTGATTTGTTGAGTTTCTGCTACAATCATGGGTGATAATTCCATTGTTGGTGCTGCTGCTGCTTCTGCAAATTTGCATGTTTCTGTCTCTATTCCAGGTACTGGCTCCAATACTTGGATAATTGACACTGGTGCTTCTGATTATATGACTTATGATGCTAAATTTTTTGATGAGTTGTCTAGTAACACCCGTGACCCATACATAACTGTTTGCCCTCTCCAATTACTGGCGAGGGCACCATTTCTCTCACCCCAACTCTGTCCTTGTCTCGTGCGTTATTAGTTCCCAATATCCATTGTAACTTGTTATCTGTTGGTCGCTTACTTGATACACTTAATGCTTCTGCTACTTTCTATCCTACCCATTGCTCTTTTCAGGATCTCAAGACTCACTAGGTGATTGGGCATGGTAAACGGATAGGGGGGGTTGTATTATTTGACATTACCTTCTGCACCAGTTCGTGATCGTGTTGTTAATACTGTTCAAC